CTTGTACTGTATGAGGTCAGACACCATCCGTGGGGTATTTATGAAGGAATTGAAGCCTCACAAGTCCAACTTGGAAAAAATGCGAGGAAAGCTTCAAGCTGGAGTTGATGCCGCTAAGGCCTATGGCACTTTGCTTCTTCCTGTGACTACCGCAAATGAACCAACAGTACACTGTATATAGTATATACTCTGCATGGGCCCCTACAATGGTTCTAAAAAGAAGAATCCATAAGTTCATAAGTCTTCCATGTCTTCCCCTGGACAGGTGGGTGATGAAGACAAGCTTTCGACTATGGCGGATAGTGCGGAAGAGCATATCGCAGCCTTCACAAAGTTTCTGACCGACAACAACATGAAGTGATTCTAATTTTGATGACGTGGGAAAGAGGTCTAAAGTGCCTCGTGTGGGATCCAGAGAACTCTGGGTGGTGGCAAATGTTCAGAACATTTTGCTTTAGGGAACCTAGGGATTGAGGCAATGTGGTGCAAAAAAACAGAAACAATAGCCGCAGGTTAGTACCAATCCAATTGCAAGCAACATGTTAACAGTGTTGATAATATAGCTACTATGCGTACGTATACATGTGTACAACTAATACTTTGTTGCACTGTTTCTAAGACAATATAGCGCACAACACTGTGTCAACTCCACAAGCCTCACTGGATTGTTGCCCACCTGTGGCACAAGAACCTCACCTCTGGGGTGTTCTTAACAAAAAGGTCGATCTCTTGTGTATTTTGCACTTCAGCTTTGGCATTTCACATCTTAGAGAAAAGATTAAATGAAGCTGTGATCCTATATTCTATCTGCCTGAGCAGGCCCTGGTGAGAATGCGAATGAATCGGCTGTGGTGGAGGAGCAAATTGCTGGGGTCAGCAGTGGTGTAACTGGGCACCAAATATGTGCCCTACATTTTGTAGGGAAAACATGCGATATCATATATATGTACTTCCCATTGTTGGACCAGAACACACACACAAAAGTCATAGCGCCAGTGCTGTCTTGAGGCCACTTCAGTTCACCGTGCAATGAGGCAAGTTCGATCTCATTGCAAAGTGCCTTGGCTCGATGGGAGTTTTTGCAATGGAGCAAGCCATCATGATCACCCCAAAGGAATATTGTATAGTATATCCCAGGAGTCAGGGGACTTCGTTCATCCGGATTCCATGAAACTGGGGAAGAAATCTGGAAAGAACGATGCCAGAGACTTCTGGACCTGGGCAGACCTTCCTGGTGTGGCAACTTGGCTTTAGATCGATCTGTCCATCAACTAGATTTTTTGGTATTCTTTATCTTTTATAATATGTTGAATTTGTTGGCGCCTGCCTGTGTCCTTTTATGAAGTATATGGCCTAAGCTAACTAAGGTTGATTTCCCCCTCAATCTAAAACACATTATATTTTGCAAACACCGAATGCACAAGGAACTGCATACTATAGCTGTACCTATTTGGAATCAGAAAACACGTTGTGTGTGCATGGAGTATCAGCCGATTCTCTATCCGCATGAAGTATTGGCATATCTTTGGGAGATTGGAATGTCAATTCCAAAAGCCGATCTGCATAAATATTGGGATCATTCCAGGAGCGTCAGGGAAGGCTGGGCTCTGGAGACGGCAGCTAGCAGGGATCACGTTCCTCTTGCCCTATACGGCGACTCTGCAAGACTTTCAACGGTGCAAACACAGGAGAAAATCACTGGCGTGTTTTTGAGTTTACCCCTCTTTAGACCAAAAACGGTCCGAGCGTCTCGATACCTCCTATGGTCGTGTGACACCTTCAAAGTATACAGCAACAGAACCTTGAACAAAGTATTCAGAGTTATTTGCTGGAGTCTCAATGCTGCCTTCTTGGGACAATGGCCACGTCAAAGTGTCAATGGTGCTATATTGGATGGAAAGCGTGGCCAGCTTTGTGCTGACGGCACCAAGTTTGCCACAACGGAGCTCAGAGGTGACTGGGAATGGCATAAAGTGACCTTCCGCTTCAAAGAATGCTCATGGAATGCAAAGAACCCCTGCTATCGTTGCGCTTGTGTGGCATCATCTCAGACCAATCCAAAGCTTCAATATCATGTGGTGGACAGCACGGCGGAACCTTCTTTTGTACTGGATTGTTTGTACCGGTTTCCCAAGCAAAGTTGGAAAGCGCATTCTGTGGGTTTTTAGTACTGATTTGAAGACAATCTTTCCTTTTGCCAAGGAATGGCACAACACAGAGTTCAGCAAAGAGAAATTTCTGGTTGAAAGGATGAAGGATAAACATCTTAGCACCTTGGTTCAATCTACCTAGACTGCGCTTGTGCTGACTATGATTCTTAATTCTTAATGTGAGCTTTTGTGTTTAGAGCGTGATCGATCCAGGCCCGCTCATCACGTTGGAGGGCTTTCACCCCTCCATGATAAAAACGTGCGTGATGCACACCCTGTACCTGGGACTGTTCTTCTCTTCAAACGGGGGCGCACTGCCACTTGGAAAGAAAATCAGAAATTAATTTGCTTTGCGCATCACATACCAAACTTACCTATATACCCGATGCAATATATGTAAACCTCACCAATCCATCCGAACCCACCGAACCCTTCGTACTAGCTGCTACCAGGGAGCTTCTCAACTGTAGATCTGCAATGAGAGAGGGGCCTTGAAATGGATTGCACCCCATGCCCCCTGACCAACATGTTGAATAAGTTGGGCTGTTTGATGTTTGTATATTGAAACTCCTCAATTGGGTGCAATCCATTTCAAGGCCGCTTGAAGCTGTTGACTCCTGTGAGCACTGCGTTACAGCCGAGGAAAATCTTGTGCGAAGAATTGCAGCACTACGGGCCAGGTGATTTTCAGGCACAACTGGACTGTGCCTATTCTGATTTTCGGGCATGGTGCACTAGCCGCTCTATATCGCACAGCCAAGTTCCCTTCTTGGTTCGAATGGTTGGAAGCTTACATCCTACATGTCACAATGACAGATGCACGGGGTTTGTTGCTTCATTAATAGATAGGCTAGTCTGTTTGTCCTACTGGTTGATCTCCCAGGTGGACCAAAAGAGTGGCGATGTTGCATTGACAGCGAAAGCTTTCAATAGCCGAATCATATGCTCCTGGTTAGCTGATGTTCTACAATCCGTGGCAACATTGCCAAGACACAGAGACCACGAAAGATTGATGTTGGCTTCAGTGTGTTTGCCCCCTGTTTGCATTCAAGTGCACTGCACAATGAGTTTGGCTTTACTTGCTTTGCTCCAGCCCTTTCCCTCGTGCCCTGTCCTTCTGATGCTCGCTCAGGACATCGATCTCGCGCTTTGTATGGCTCTCTGAGACGCACAGCCGGTTCTTGCAACTTGGAGACTGCAACGAAATAAGTAACCTTGGGGGCCCTGAGTATACTCTCTGCTGTTTCTGATTTAAAAAAACTCCTGTTCATCCCAGACCAAATTTGGAGATTACATCTGTGGCCCTTAGAATTCAAACCAAAGTAAAACGGTTCAAGATTCTAGGGTATCAACAGTAGGTCCAATCTCATATATATGCGGAGGATGAATGATCCCTCTTATGCACATGTCCGCGCACATTGATCTTGAATAAACTGTTGGCTCAATTTTTTGGGAGTAATAGCTGCCTCCAAACTCCCAAAAGCCAAGGCCAAGTGATATAGCCAACGAGATGTGGTCTGAAGGGCTACGCTATTTGGAATCTTACAAAGCACTGCAAATTCTCAGTGTAAGGCCTGCCGCATGCCAGCTGTTCAACTTGCATTTGTGTTTTGCGGGTCAGCTACAGTGGTTTCAGAGTAGATGGCACAACCCCCAAGATGACTTTTATATAGGGGTCCATATAAAACAACCTCTTGGGGATTGCGCCATCTACTCTGGAACCACTATAGTTTATCACTGGTGGCAGGGCCGGCAAGCAGCAGTTCATGGTTCGTCCAAAACACCACGTGCCCTGATGGCAATCAAGGTTGCAGCAAGTGACAAGTCTAACATGTGCAGCACATTGATCGTTTGATGATTGGCTAGATCGACATTTCATTTAAATTGGAAGTGCCATGAAATGTAAATGCTAAGTTATTTGCCCATGTCTGCTGGGACATCAAGCAGTACAGCTGCTTGTCTGAGTTCAGGCACTGTTGATAGGCTGTATTTATCCTAGGGTGCAGTGGGTCAAAACCTGAAAATGACCATCTGAGATGGGTTGAGAGGTGACGTTTGGTATGGTGTGTACAGGGAATCCTGTCTTGACTCGGCACCCCAGGGTACCTAGGCTGTCACTATACCATTGTTGTGCATCACCTGCACCGAGTTTTGAGAGTGAACAACCTAAGGAACCAACTGCCGCTACTATCATTGTTTTGTAGATGAAGATGGCATGAAATGGTTGAAAAGAAACTCTGCAGCATGGAAAGGTGTTCCAACAAGGTGTTGAACATTAGCTGATTCCATACCAGGTGTTGATTGATCTAAGGAGTGGCAAGTGGTGCATCCTACAAGTTTCGAAATCGATGGGTCTTGCGTTGCGGGAAGCTTCGCATAAGATCTATGAAGAACCGAATGAATCAGTGGCTTGGTGATGATTTGCGAGAGTTCCGCGTGAGTATGATTCATTGTTGCAACGCTGTTGAACTTTTGTTGATTTTCTCTTGCCCTTGTGCACATAGCCCAGGCTCCTAGCATCCTCGCGTGCCCGCATGTGAGCAAATGCTGAATGGAGAGCAAAAAAAGAGATGTCATGGGTTTAGAAACTGGAAAGCGTGAAATGTCTGTTGTCACAAGCGACATTAAAACAATGTCTGTTAGAGCCCTAGGGTATATATATATATAATTGGACACAATATAGCATCTATATATGTATTCCACGCACACACGTGTACAACAAATGCATATCATCTGTGAGAAAGTGCCAATTGCTTCTTGCACCAACAACTAGTCTAGTCAAACCTCTCAAACGGCTTTGGCTCCTAAGGCACGACGGAATAGTTACAAAAACAAAGAAAAACCTCCAGCCTCGTCAAGTGCTGGAACGATCAACACCTGGAGGGCAAGCTAGCTAGCAACTTCCATGAGCTTCACGCTTCCGTCCGTGAAGCTGGGTGGCAACTTCGTGACATGAGACACGGCCAACCATGGGGCAGTAATGTACTATAATATGTTCATGAAAAAGTAATAACGCATTAGTATGCATTAGTAAATACACTATTCCCAGAGACCTCAAAATGATGAAATCCATGCAAATCCACTGTATTCATACCGAAAGGCTGGATTCATATGGGATGTCGTGGGACTTTCCCTTGGCATCCCAGGACAGGGGCAAACTTGCCTGAGAATGAACACGCACCTACAATCAGTTCGTGTCCGCTTCCGAAGCACCTGCAAGGACCAGGAACTATTTGGGACACATGGACCACAAAGGCCTCACCCCCAAAGGGTTTCGCTCACCAAGCATGTAGGCGATCACGCCACGGGAGACCTCGCCCGTGGGCCTCGGTAGGCGGTTTCGCTTGGCGCAAGGGCAGCAAGTGGCGCCCAAGCAACGCGAAGAGCTCTTCGTACACCTGCGTGTTGTTTTTTTGGCGCGCGCTGGGAGCGGGTAGTCTTAAAGCTTCATCTTTGTAACAAGGAAATTCAACACACACACACACACACACACACGCACGCACTCATCTGTCAAACACAAGGGAAACAACTACAGTAAATGGAACAAAGGGAACGTCCTTGAAGAGCAGCCAATCTTGTGACTCACGCCTTGTTTCACGACGCGTTCAACAGCGAGACCAGCACCGTTCTTCGGGAGACGAAGCGTTCCCGACCAGCTCAGCATTCACCTCGCGCGCACCGTTCCATGCCGCATCCCCGACCGCGCCTCTTCAAAGGTGCACGGCTCCTCCGACCGGAGACGTCCGTCCGGCCGAGCGAAGCGAAGCGAAGCGAAGCGAAGACCAAGGGAATGAGGTTGTTCTTCACCTTTCCGAAACGCAGGTCAAGACTGCAGTCCATTGGATATGGACTCCATGAAGTTGAAACCAAATCTCAGATCACATGTTTTCGGGCTACGAAGAGATGGCTGCCCATCATCCACATTTCACAAACCATCCACCTTTTGACGTCGTTTGAGCACAAACAGTCAAGTCTCTTCTGGTGCACATGGTTGACGTGGTGACTTCACTTCACTTCTTGAAGGTAAACACCGTCGATGCACAAACTCTTCTGAAGTTTCATTCACCTCCGTGTTCTGGAGGTACACTTCGCCCTCGGCAACCTGGCAAATGTGCAAACAGCAGTGTGATACAGTGGGTGTCGGGGTGGGGCGGGGGTGGAGCACAAATGGCGAAAAGGCCAGAAAAAGATGTCGTCTAACAGAATTGCTATAAAAGAGTTCCACTGAAATCTATTCAATGTGGAGGTCACAAGGACTAAAAGGCCTTGAATCAATTAAGCAACCAAACCTCACTCAAAATTTCATGCTGGTGTCATGGGGCCCTTGGGCAAAATTGCTGCGGTCCTCTTGAGAGGTCATTAACATACTCACATGCCTTAGCTAAGGACGACTAGGGAGGGGGGGGACCATGATGGGTCTTACTGGTACTGGTGACGCGGCTTTTACATGGAGAATCCTGTTCTTGGCTGTTTTCAGATTCCCCTCGATGCGACCCTCGGGTAGCTGAGTGTGTCAAGGTTGGATGCGACCCTCGGGTAGTCGTGCAACGACGCTGCCAACCCAAACACCTTGGTGTTGTTCGAGTCCAGCAGTGGCCCGAAAATGATCAACACCTGCAAACGAAGCAGCAGGAGGTTGTGAGCCTTCACCCAACCATGCCTGTCGGGTCCGAGATCCACAGGTGTGGATGGACCAACATGGGAGGGAATGGATATGAATTGAATTGAATGGTAGGGTTGACCCTTTGATTCACGTCTGGTGGTCAGCTACAGGGCTTTCAGGGCTCTCTTCCGCAGTCATTACGGTTTTTCTCGGGAGCCTCCGAAGACCTAGCTGGGCATCTCTATGTGCTAAGTCTTACGCCGTAACGCCTTGACAAGCTATTTATGATAGGCGGGGATAGGATTCTGGGTCTTTTCCCCTTTCTTTTCACAGTAGAAGATTGGTTTCCCACTGACTAAACCAGATCAGGGGAAACTACTTCCAGTTTCTGGAGTTTCGCCTCCAAAATATCCCAGGTCCTCTCTTTCACACACCACCGCTTACAGCGGCTGTGGACCTTTTCTCCGAAATGAATGTCTGCGACCCGGCGAGGCCGAACCATTATAACTTCAGGTTGCCTCATGTGCTTCGCACATTGGCGGCCTGTAACGTGGATGCCTTAGCCATCTGGCTCAGACCAAAGCAAAACGTGCCTCCCAACAATGAATGCTTGATTATGAAAAAAACACCAAGCACTGCACAAAGCCACACATCGCAGTCATGTCCATGACATCTGCTCATGTGCTGAAGCGAACAACCACAAATATACCAGGACCCTCCAAGGGGTGCCCAATGGAAGCCTATAGGTAGTGTGGGGTAGTCCATTGGACACCCCTTGGAGGGTCCAGGTATATAACTGTTGAACTTACACTTTGCGGGAGTCCTGGAATTACCTTTCGGGGGACTTGTCCAGGCTTGCCCGATCGTCCCCAGTGTCTCCAGGGGAAAAAGGCTCGGCCATGGGTCTCTTCAGGGGACTCCCCTTCATCGTTCCTGGCAGATTTGGTTGCCTTCCAAACAAGCGGTTTGTGGGACGAAGTGAAACATAGCCCCTTAGGGAGGCGGTGGTTGCATAGCCCCTTAGGGAGGCGATGGTTGGACTGACCAAAGCGGTTTCCACGCTCCGGTTTTGGTCCGTCCAAACCCCGTCTTCACCGGGTGCATCGCATTCTCCACTCGATGATGCTCGGACCACCGGGCGGAAGAACCGGTTCTTCGGACCAAGCCGACCACCTTTCACGCTTCAACTCGAGTGACCCCAAGGCAGAATCCCGGGCAAAGACCCATGACAGGAGCTAAACTGGAGACACAAAATGTGATTTCCATGTGGAAACGCTCTTCAGCGTGCCACTGGTCTAGGTAAAACTGTCCCGACACCATGGAGGTTACAACCAAGTGCTTCAAATTCGTGGACCCCAAATCAGTTTCAAAGTGTTGCTCCAATCACCTCTGTGATCATGTCGAGGCAAATCAAGTTCTACCCAAACCTCTTCAGATCACTCATTTCAAGTTTAGTCATCGAGGTGCTCCATCAGTGGCCTGACTGCTTGCAGTCCAGTTCTTCTGTGCTCCACCCCGCTGGCCCGAAGGAGGCAGCGTACTGAGGCAACTCAGAAAGACCACTGACCACTGACCACCAAACGAGAGAAACGAGGAAGGCCCGAGCCTTGAAGGACCTTTCCCAATTGAAATTGAAACAAGATCCCTGAACAACATCATACTTCGCCCTTGTCGCAGCTTCCAATCTAGGGAAGCATGGAACCAAAGTTGGTTTCACATAATTTTAGTCTACAGGCTTTCACTAGCCGCGACCGAGCTCACCCCTTCCACATTAGTCATTAGTCAAATGTGCCTGGGCGGCCCAGGGAGGTTCCACCTGACCGGACAATACGATATCCCATTCTGTGTTTCGACTCATTCAGATTCCGTGGATGTCATATATAATATAACAGTTTTCCTATCTTCGGTGATTGTGCATGAGTTGGGACCCGCAATTTCATGCACATCAAGTACATCCTCGTGAGTTTCAAACTTCGGGAGGTATTGACAAGTGGTTTACATCAATTTACACCTGCGACCCCTGTCAACATCTGCAAACAATGATAAATAGGATTGTGTTAAAATAGGGAATTGCCCTGGGGTCTGTTGGCAATTCGGGTCTCTCTATTTCAGGACGTGCCCATATTCAAGAAGGATTTGGTTCATCAACTGGATCGAAACGCACCACCCCTCCGATCCCAAACCTGCCGATCTCGCTAGCTGCAGCACCTGACGGGAACTCATGCACACAACGCTGCACACAACAAACAGCAGGTTGCCGTGCCCAAAAACAAAAGATTGAGAAGGCCACATTGACATGACACTGGTTCTCTATGGTTCTTGGACACTTGAAGCTTGATCTTCCTTCAGCCCTGTTCAGAAATGTTTACATCTGGCGCGCTGCCTTGTCACGACCAGAACGCCAGTTGCTACCATACCACCAGCTACATCCTGACCAAGAAGGACTTTGACCACCCGAACATACCCCGCCTGAAGTGCTTGAAGGCTCCGCTGGTGCATCAGGCCTCATCCGGCCATTGATCTGCAGATTTTGTCTACTTAGGGCTAGGTGCGCAAAGATTTCAGAATAATCCACACACATCCCAGCAAAGCAAACATGCTAGAAGGCAAGAACCGAAAGGTGTTACAGCCGCTCAGTCTGGGAGCACCACTTTCCATTATCATAGGAGGTGCCCTAGCTTCCATCATCTTCCGTCAACGAGTCACCGGCAACAGCTGTCTGACGTGATCCTTCTAGAGCTCTTTTCTGTGCAGCTCATAGACTGAGATTCGAGTCTAAAGTGCCCGGACCAGGAGCACATGGCAATTTTTTAAAAAAAAATCAAAAGTATGGAAACTTCATTGGGATCGTCAATATCTTTGCAAATGAACCAGGCATGGAATCATGGTCTAGTTTAAGCCTCTGTGAAACCTGAAGGACCCGGTCCAGGACCACCTCAACATGCCAGACCTGGATCATGCAATACCTGAAGTTGAATGACATCTACATCCTACGTGCGGAATATGCACCAGCACCCAACGCATACATAAAGCACGCATCCACATACCCATCTAGGAAGAAGATACATGAAGAGAGCCTTTTGAGGGGTTACATCGCTATGCCAATGATCAAAGGTCTTTGTGCCATAAATCACAAACAAAAAGGATATGGAAGAAGTATCAGTATCAGGCAAATTTGGAAAACTTTCCAGAACACACTCAACTGCTTATGTCAAAATATGTGCGGGTGATGTGCATCTAGGATCTTTTGCAAGGCTGAAGAACGTGTATCCCCTTCAGGATTTTGCTTCTTCTGACTTGGCTTGCTTGGAGCAAACTCCTTACAAACGGGTGTCCAAAGCAAGAACTGCCGGATCAACAATCCAAAGTTGAGTGCAATGCCAATATAGCTCACAATAATGCCAACCCATTTGACCTCTCTTTTGATAGGGACAAGACCATGTTTCAGCTCCAGAACAAACTAGTAGGTGTCACTCAGGATTCTAGGTATGTACATTATGATCATTAATATATATATATTATATAATATATTAAAATGTTAAGAAACTAAAAACAAAAACACATCAATGACATCAAGATATCTCTACCGTTCTTTAATCCCGATGGCTGGATGTTGAGACTTGCACCCCGAGAACCTCCCGGTCAACGATCTGGATGAAGAAACTGATGATGGAATTGCCATGATAGCCATGGCTCAAATTGAATCAACAGCAGGGATCTCATGCCCAGTTGAATTGACCTGAGCCCCTGTATCTGCCGTCTTGGTCTTTTGCATGTGCAATCTGCTTTCCTGACATGAGGGTTCCATGTGTGCACTCCATTATTAGGGGGCTGAAACGAATGGTCCTCAGAAGATACGAGTACATGGTAGACAATATACCCCTTTGTCCCAACATGAGCGTTCCAACCACTATAAGTAGACAGTCAGTAAGGGGGCAGTTCATATCCTTCGGTTGGCCGTGGGCCGTCGAGGCTGAGACAGAGCCCTCACGTCACCAGAGCCCTCTGAAAGAAGTCCTGCTTTCTTCCGCTCCGCAGACACCACTCCGACCCTGATCAGTCTCTCCCAAGGCTTCGCAAGCGGTAGACTCGAACGATCGGAAAAAAAAAACGGTTGGAATGGAACCACCGCGTCATATGGGGACTTGATTGATCAACAGTCAAGAGTCACTTGTTTCAATTGAATTCGGATGTTAAGAAAGGAGACGTCGGACGACTCGCGGCTTTGAGTGAGCACACCACAGCTGCCACATATCAATCACGTGCAGGTGTCGTCCAACACCCACTGGGACAACGTTTTGGGCGGAACCGTCTCAGTTCGATCCCTCCGGTGTCGTCGCTCCGTTCCTCCGGGACTCGTCCGCCGATGCGTCGGCGAGTCCGGAGAGGGCGCGCCGGGGTCGGTCCAAGCGGTTCGAACACCATGGACGCCCAGCCGGGTGAGCTTCTTCTTGGCGATCGCTTTGCCCGATTTCTTTGGAGCCTCGTGAGCGGGTCGGACCTGGGGTCAGACCTGGTTGACAAACTGGTCGGACCTGGTTGACCCTAGTTGACCCATGTTGTGGATTGGATCTTATACATGCCCAGTGGTTGGTCACCTTTTGAATAAAGCAAGTGAGCGGTGGTCTTTTTTCGTCTTTGCCTTGGCCAAATGTTGAGGTAGTGGTCCACGCACATCCAAATGACACACAAGGAGACCACCAGTGTCCAGAAAGAATCATAAGCAAACCAGAGGTAGTAAACCGGCAACGAAAGGACATCACAAGACTAAATGGCCGAGAAACAGTAGAAACATAAGGAAACCTTTTTTATGCTTACCATAACCATACCATGAAGTTGGTCAAAAACAAGTTGGGAATTGTTGGGAATTGTTGTCGGGTCTATGTTTTGATATAATTTGTACGGAAGTCTGACAAGGCAAAGACACGCACAGTCACAGGGCTCAAGATGCTGGATTTCTCCCGCCAGATGCAGGTGCCAGATGCCGGGGCCAGATGCGCAACTGGATGCC